CTTTTCTGATGAAGGGCCTAGGCCCGAAACGTCGGCCTTTCTGCTCCTATGATGCTGCTTGGCCTGCTGTGTTCATCCAGCCCTGCACCTTGTTGTCTCGAATCCTGTGAACACATTCCTTTTGCAAAGGCAGGGTGGCAGCCATGCATGTTTACTGTTTTTAAAATCTTTCTGGCCTATCAATTTCATTGACTAATGATGTTTGTTCTCACCTGATTAACTGTGGCATGTCCAGCATTTGCTGTTAAACCCAGAATCTTGCATTAAGGCTATAATTAGCTGATTATTTAGATATTTAACTGACTGACCTTACAGTTCCATAGCAGTTTCTGCTACAATTGAAAATGTTCAAAGTTTTGAAAACAAAATAATACTGATTGGAGGCCATCTTTCCAAATGAATGAGATTGGTGGGTTTGTTTAGTGATTAGGATTTCCAATTGATCTGTATCTTAACAGACAATAACCATGGGTTTGGGGCAACTTTTGGAATTATGACTTTTAGCAGAATGAACATAAGAATTCAACATCCATTTACCACATTAAATGGGATCAGTCAATAGAATGAAGCGAAATGACCATGAATGATAACTTGTATCAGAACGAGGGGTAAAGGAAAACCAGCCAACTCTAACTTGATAGAATGAATTCTCTCAGTTATGTAGTGTAACTTCAACAGAAGATTCACAAGATCTCTGGCAAAATAGTATTAGCATTGTTTGTGCTCAAAGTGACAGGAGGCAATGGGAGAACCCTTATTGAGGCTCATGTCAGAATTTCATTTTTCAGATCAACTGACCAGTTTATTCTCCATTCCACAGCCTCATTTGGGTGTCTGCCTTCTATTGCTGTATTACACTGTGCATCGATTTGATGGAACATTATGCCTGAAGAACATATTTAGAATTTCTTTATATATGTATTTTGTTGGCTTTCAGGTATGATTCAGATAAGAGAGGTTTTATCACTCACCTCGAGCTTCTGAAGAAGCTTAGGAATAGGTTTGCAAGACAGGTCCAGATAGACAGCAAACAAATTGTTCCAGAGAGCCGAGGCAGCTTAATAGATCATTCCAAAAAGCAACAACAATTCCAAACAGATGGAACCAAACAACAGAAACCTCAGACAGGAAATCTTAATATCGCTGAGCTGAAAAAACAGCTTAAGTAAGTAGAATCCTATACGTTTTAAGTCTTTGGATCCTCTTGACTACTATTGCAATTTAGAATTATTGGGTTTGGTACCAGATTATGCCAGTGCCTTATGACACCTATTGTGGCTTCTTTGGAAAGAGTGGTTCATGTGTGGAATGAACTGCTAGAGGATGTGGCGAATGGGGGTACAGTTACAACATTTAGAAGACATTTGGATAGCTACATGAAAAGGAAGGGTTTGGAGGGATATGGGCCAAATGCAGGCAAGTGGGACTAGTTTGGTTTGGGAACACAGTTGGCATGCACTAGTTGATCTGAAGGGTTTGTTTCCATGCTGTATGACACTATGACCGTTTTTCTAGTATTTAATTGTCTGCTGTTCCCAGGAGAATAAAGCTTTCAAATAAGAGGTGGTATGATTTGTTTTTGGAGACAACTCAAAGGAGAAATATCCTTTGTCAAACTAAACATTACTTTGATTCAGCAGTGGATGATAGCATTGCTTCACAGAAAGAGAAAACTTTGTGAATTATTATAGTCAGAAATTATTGGTGATAAATGAAACTCCTGTTATTAACCGGACTTTTATTCTTATGGAATATATCTGTTAATAGGCATTACATTGAACTTGACTGTAATATATTAACCTGTGCTGTTTTCTGTTTGACCCATAAGAGCTAAATTCAGGAACCATCACAAAGGCTTTCATGAAGCCTTTGACAAATTAGATAAAAGGAATGATGGCTGTGTGTCAATAAATGATTTTCAAAGGGTGCTGAAGGACCATAACTACCACCTGGGTGAAGAACAGCTTAAACAGCTCTTGGTCAGGTATGAACGGACATTATACTTGGTTACCAGGCACCCTTTTCTACAGGGCTGTCACCTTAGCAATTGTCTATTTATGAATTTAGTTAACATTCCAATATAAGGACATAATACCAAATGAAATACAAACAGGTATAAATTACATCAGCCTGCTGTGTTGTTCAACATGCTCATGACTGATCTGTCATTACAAATTTCCCAACACTATGTCTTGATTCCCTGAGAGACCGAAGAGTTTTTGACCTCAGTCTTAAGTATACTTAACAATGGCGTATCCACAACCTTTTGGGATAGATAATGACAGATTCACTGCCCTTTGGTGAAAGCATTCCTCCTCGTCTCAGTCATAAATGAACAGCTCCTTACCCTAAGATTGTACCTCTCTTCTGTAGATTTCCCAGCAAGGGAAACAGTCTCTCAGTGTCTTTCATATCAAGCCCCTCAGGTCACCTGTCTGTCTTCTAAATTGCAGCATGTAAAGACCAAATTTACTCAGCCTCTCATCATAGGAAGAACCTTTGGAAAACTGGTCCTTTACAAGTGGCTTTTTACTAGTGAGTTAATAGAAACTGATTTCCTGTAAATGGCTTTATTGCTTATTATCTGCCAGAATGGAAAGACTGTCCATTAATCTTCTATTTGACACAGTAATGAGTGATCATGTTGGCTGGAATACTCGGGCCGGGAGATGGGAAGGCTTGGAAATTATACGGGAAGGCATTGGTTGGGTGGGTGGTGCCTGATGTCTGCTATCATTCCATTCTTCCCGTGGTGGGAAAGGTAGGTTGTTCATTCACTTAAGTGGTCAATAAAGGACTCTTCCTGCTTTGATGACGATAATGGGTAGAATATCTGGGACATTGCCTGTAAGGAATGATCCTATTAGTATGACTAAGTAAGTTTGTTGCTTGATTAGTGCAGTTTAAATCAGGCACCATATCAATCGCATGTAGCAGCGATGATGTCATCAAACAGTTAAACAACTAGTCACATTAAAATACACAGGCACACAAAGCCTTTGCTGTTAACTTAAATTTTGCATAAATATATGATTGCATCAAGATTAAGCTAAAGTAAAGCAGAAAATATGTATCTAAACATAAAATACTTCTTATAAAAATGTGGAAATATTTAACCCTTCAGTCTGTGGGAAGCTGTATAACACAACTCTAATAGAGAAGATTTATAAAGTAGGTTTTGATCATTGTACTAATCAAAGACAGATGCGATTTTATGAGCATGCAATCTTCAAGTTCTGTTGCATCGAAATGGAATTGACATTTTTTTATATTTTGCTTTTGTTTCATACCAGTTTGGAAATCCCGATGCACAATTGCAAATTTTCTTATTCTGATTTCTTGAGAGCCATTGAGGATATTGAAAACAAGTCATTGAAGCGTGGCCCAAAACTTACATTTATTCCACGTGAAGATTTTCAAATACAATCTCCAGAGAAAATGCTCACTAAGTTGAAAGGAGAAGTTGCCAAATCTTCAAACGCATTGTTTAAGGTGAGTAATTTTAACGTTTTGCATATAGAAAGTTTCACTCATCAAGGTGTTGTTCAGATTACCACAATATTGTGCGTTAACATCAATCACTGTCCAAAAATGATTGTTGAAGTGTTATTTCCTTACCGAAGCTGTCCTAATTACCTTGCCGAAGAATAAAATTCTTTTTAATTGTACAAACATATACATGATAATTCATTTTATCTGATTACTTTGTTTTAGACAATGAACTGATTTATTTTGTATTCTTTAGAGACTGTGTTGTGTTGAGATTTACTAAAAGCAATACATGTTGAATGGCCAATTACAAAATATCTCAGTGGTACAATTAATGGGTGAATTGAGCTGTGCAGTACGTGATTTTTAGACCAGATGGAGCGAGAGTGCAGAGATGCATACACTGATCTTTAAACCAGAAATCCATGTACAATTAGTTTAGCATAAACTTCCACAACCCTGACATTATAAATCAAGAGGGAGATGAGATCACTGCCATGGGGTTACTCGTATCACATCTATGACCTAGACAGCCAACTTATTAGGGCTATAGAGAGCTTGGGGTAGACTGGGGGAAGCAGCAGCATTGAAGATATGGAGAAGGTATAAAGAGTATGAGACTATTGTAGTGCAAAGAAATAGATATTTTAATCAGAATAAGAGATTATTTGTGATAGAGAAAGAAACCACCTATGCTAAAATCAGATAAGGAAGCCCCACAACCAAGAGACATTGAGAGACAGTTAAGTGAGGCATAAACACAAATAAAAGTTTGATAGACATACATCAGACAGACTGACACACAGACATAAGTTTGGTCTCATGCAAAAATACAAAGCGAGAAAACAACTGAGGCAAAGACTAAAGGACATTCACATACCAGGAAATGGTGCTTTTTCAAACATCTTCATCCACAATCAGATAAATTACAATGAAACTATTAGATCAACAGAGAACTTGCAGCACACACAGCCCACAGGACACCTGCTGTGTTATTCTGTGTACACTGAGACAATTATCTTCTGTCCTCTAATCCTACTTCATGTGAAGTCCAGCTTTGGATCCTGACTCGCTTAATTCAAGGCCATTGAAAATTAACTAGTTTCCTTCGAAAGTGAAATGTTAAATAAATTGCCTTGATTGTTTATAAAGGCTTCTCGCGTTAAACTCATAGAACTAGTTACCTCAGCATCTGATAAGCTGTATAGTAAAGCTGGACATAACAGGAAAATTATCTTGATGCCTCATTTTCAGTTTGAGATCAATGTAAGTAATCAATATAGCACAAAGATAATTCTGCAGCTTTCACAAATTGTGGTTCTTAGGGCAACCAGCTATGCTCATCAAAGCACTGCTATATAAAAATCAGAACAAAGAGTCAGTGGAGCCTGTACCATTTAAAATAATTTTGTTGAATGTTCAGTAAACAAAGCTGATTCTCTGACAGCTCTTATTTTTATCTTTGCAGCAACACATCCTCTCACTGCTTAGCCAGTTACTGGTGTATGAGGTGCATGAGATGCACCATCTGCATTTTTATTTTTCGATTATTTCTTTCCCTCCTTCCCCCCACTTCTCCTGGAGAGAACAATTAGCTTCTCAACCACCACCATCCTCGAAACGCATACAGTTGGAAACTTGGATAAATGAGAAATTATAATTGTGCATGCATGTCAGGCCTTAACGGCCTATGAGCAGAATGTTAACACACTAATGTATTTTTTAATAGCCTCAAAAACCCACAATTCTCAATAGCTTGAACAACTAAATGATAGAAATATGTGTGCTGAATTCTGCCCATCATCTTCGTGCCTGCTCATTGCTAAAGAAGTTTAAAAACTAATTTAACTGACCTGCCACATTCTCATTCTCTGAAATTAATATGTTTCAAAATAGAACCAGACCTGCTACTAGTACAATGCCGCTATCAGTTAAGATATTTTATTGTTCATTCATATGTTACCCTCCTCCTTTTTAAGTGCATTGCCATGGGTTATGGCTTGGCAGACAGCAGGAGGACACTCAAATCTCGAGTCTCTAACAATCTTTTATGCAGGAGTACTAACCAGTATTTAAGTGGGGAGGTAGACTTGGTTCATAGTAGAAAACAATATTGACTTTGTCTTGAGGTCCACATGTACCACTTCAGTAGTTCTCGATAGTGATAGCAGGAGATCTGTATTATTCTTTCCCTAGTCAAAGCCGTTAAGGTTATCTTACCATATTAACTAACCGGGCTGATGAAATCTGAAACTTTATTCGTCTGTTTGACTTAATCACTTGCTCTGTTGTGCGTTGAGGCGTCAAAGGGACTTGGAGATGTTTTTGTTAGAATAAGCAATGATATGAAACTTTGTTTTTTTAATTTTGTTTCTTTAGGCCTTCAAATCATTTGATAAATATGGAAATGGGAAGATCAATTCATTAGCATTCCGCCAGGTGCTTCATAATGTATGCTTCAGACTGACAGACAAGGAGTTCAATTACCTCCTCAGCAAATTGAAATTAGATTCAGACTACATGGTAGACTGGCTTGACTTCCTACAGAGCTACAATATTTACAATTATAAGGTCAGCATAATTCACATCTAATGTTTATTCCTCAATGTTCAGCACTTTGACCTGACATGCAAATATAAGCTCCATCGTGTTGGGCAGCTACATCTCATTTTTGTAAAATATTTAAGATAAACATTGCATAGCTTTAGAAAGAGATACAAACTAATGAATTATTTCATATTCACAATCTTGTAATGTATCTTTTACTGAAGTGCTGAATTGTCAACTTAATTGTTCAAGGATTTTAGAAGAAGGTGTTTTATTTTAAGTTAGTAATAATACACAATAGAAGCTGATAGACACTTGAAATTTATGACAGTTCCTTCTGTTTTAACAGGGACATATTTCCTTTTGAATAAACTTTGATATCCGAGAATAGGAGAATATTATGATTTATAGAGTTGTATGAATCTCTCGAAGCCTAAGTTAAAATTATAGTTTAACAACAGCATTAACAAGGGATGATTAACATGATGTTTAGATTACAGCTTCACGTTCTGGCTACTCAGGACAGCCTCCAATTAATGTTTGCCATTGTATCAGAGGTCAATGGCTGTCGCTGAGGGATTTGGTTCAGATTTCAACATTGCTCAACTCCTATGTACCATTTCTACATTGCTAGAGTGTATGAGTATTGGAGAAGCAACCAATCACTTTATTAAATCACAGACTAACTGTGCAATATTTGTCACAATCCGCTTCCTATATTTGTCAGTGGGTGAAGATTTAGGTTAAATTCTAGAACCATGTAACATAATGGGACACAATTTTTGGTTGACTATTGGCATAGAAGACAGATTCACATCCCTCTATAGGGGAGAAATTCCATCTGCAAAATTGGTGTGTGAAGCTTTTGTTGTTGATATTTTATATAGATTTCACTAATTGACAAAATAAATTGGATTCCTTAGTGAATACGATAATGTCTGAAAAACCATTGACCAGAAACTGAACTGGACTAACTGTAAAATTACTGTAGCTACAAGAGCAAGTCAGAGGCTTAGAATCCTGTAGCGAGTAACTTACCTCCTGATTCCCCAAAGCCTGTCCACCATCTACAAGGCACAAATCAGGAGTATGATGGAATACTCCCCACTTGCCTGGATGAGTTTCCCTCTAACAACACTCAAGAAGCTTGATACCATCTGGGACAAAGCTTCATTAGCACATCTAGAAAGGGGTGGCACAGTGGTTAGCACTGCTGCCTCACAGCACCAGGGACCCGGGTTCAATTCCAGCCTCGGGCGACTGTCTGTGTGGAGTTTGCACATTCTCTCCTTGTCTGCGTGGGTTTCCTCCCGGTGCTCCGGTTTCCACCCACAGTCCAAAGAGGTGCAGGCTAGGTGGATTGGCCATGCTAAATTGCCCATAGTGTTCAGGGATGTGTAGATTAAGGGGGTTATAGGTGAATGGTTTGGATGGGTGCTTTGAGGGTTGGTGTGGACTTGTTGGGCCGACGGGCCTGTTTCCACACTGTAGGGATTCTGTTCTATGATCTCTTCTACCTCCACCACCAAGGCTCTGTAGCCGCATTATGTACTATATACAAATTGCTAAAGATCCTTAGACAATCCCTTCCAAACTTACAACATTTCCATCTAGAAGGACAAGGGCAGCAGGTACAGTGGAACACCACCACCTGCAAGTTCCCCTCCAAGCCACCCACTATCCTGACTTGAAACAACACTGAATCAAAATCTTGGAATTCCCTCCCTGTCCTACCCCAGGGCTTTTACCTGGAGGTGCAAAGGGGGAACTGGGTAGGGAGAGGGTGACAGGGCCACCTATCAACTGATGGCAGGTAAGTGATTTGAACTGTTTAAGGACCATCAGTCTCCAGTTCCCTGGAGACATTTAGAAACTGGGAAACAAACCTCAGACTAACTGGTAGCAGCACTGCAAGACCCTTCTTGCCTTCCTGCTTTCAGCTGAGCCATAGGCTGCCACTATGCAGGGTCTCCTGTTTCCATAATTTTGGTTAGAATCCTGAGAGAATTTCAAAAGGTTGGAGGGAAGGCATCTACATCTTGGAATAACTTATCCCTCACAGACCTGCCAAGTCACCCTGCTGCTGCACATAACCTGGCATGTCTCCTGCTGACTATCCAGCCCCAAGGGCCATCGTTAATTGAAGATCCAACCTACCCTCGGGCCAATACTTGGCCATTATGGAGAAAATCACAGACATTCTGTACAAATTTCTGGTTTCTGACATCCATTTGAGCCTGCCAACAGGGTTCTGAAGCCATGGGGATAATTGTGCCCATGGTTTCAAACTTAAAATTAATCCACTCTTTCTATATTGAGAAGCTAAAGGTAAGCTGTTTATTTCTTAATAGCTTTTTTCCCTATATTTCAGATTTCTAGTATTCGTAGATCTTCATTTTTATTACTTTTACTCAGTCCACACTCCCACACATCTGTAAAGAAATCTCAATCTTTTCCACTTCATTGCCTGACCCCATGGATTTCATTTGATCCCATTGCTGTTGTTGTACAATGCAGATTTCAGATAAACAATCTTAGAATGTTTTAAATCCTGCCCAGATTCCAGCACATCACATTCCAAAATGCATCATGTTTTGCGTTTTTCTAAAATGCCTTTTTAACTGATTTTGTAATTTAGGTTTTGTTGTCTAACAGTTTTCATAACGTAAGAGATGATTATAATTTCATCACAAATTTTGCATTTCTGTGTGGTTTAATGAAGCACAGTATTTATGTAAATGATTAAGAAGCGTTAACCTTTCTTAGCAATATAAAATAATGGTGAGTATAGTTTTTAGAGTAAATATTGACATTCTAGCATTTCCAAATCTATGATAATGTCAGAGTGACTACTGATATGCAGTTGTCCTGCACAATGCACTTTAATCATGTTTGGGTGTCAGTGTTGTGAGAGCATAGGGGTAGGACTAGGGATTGTTAGCACTGGGCACTGAGAGAGACGTGAGCTGACACCCATGTTATTATGTCTGCATTGCCTGCAGAAGCACCTATTAACATCTCTATTGACAATCACCATTGTCTTTGTAAATTAATTCTTTTTATGTTTGACAATAAAATAATTATTGTCCTCCTCAGGATTCAGTGTGGGAACAAGTATACAACTGAATGGACATACTTAATTATGCATTTTTCAATAAAATCGGTGACCAACCACTGTCATTTTTCAATGGCTGGTAGGCCATTTTTGAGTTAGCTGGATGAGAGAATGTCAGAAGAATTTATTCTTGCTGTATCATACACCAATATTACAGTTTTTAGCATCTGGACTTTGAATAATCCACTAAGAAAGGCAATAAGAATGGAGCAGCATCATTCCATAGATCAGTGGGTGAAGGACCTCGGATATGAAATTGTCGTCAGTCGAACCACCAGGCCATCACATGCAGAACTACATGTGTGAGAAGACATTGCTTTTTGATTTACTTGTGCTGCCTGCAATTGATTAAATAATTTATCATAACTAAAACTTATTTTGTATTGCAGGCTGCAGAGAAACCAGAAGGACAAGATCAAGCCAGCAGACCTAAATCATCTCAACAGTTAACAATGAATGAAATTATGTCCCACATCCAAGAGGTCGTTAATTCATGCCTCTACATCATTACACAAGAGTTTGAAGAAGTTGATTATGCGAATGTAAAAGTTGTTTCTAAGAAGCACTTTAAGGAAATATTTTTTAAACATTTCATGAGCCTCACAGATGAACAGGTGCGTCTTTCAGCAATAGAAATTATAATTGGATGTAGTCCTATCCATTCCTTTTACTTTGAAGCCTTCATTTTCTTGGGGGAGAAATGGATGAATGAATAGTATTACTTAACAATTTTTAATAAAACAGTAAAGGAGGATTTTCTTACATGATTTTAATTCAATTAAGGTGAAAATTTGAATTAAACAAATCTGAATGTGGTAAAAGCAAGTCAGTAGGAAAAATATGGTAAAATTGGAATAAATTAAGTTCTTGATGTCAAGAAAAGAAGTCCAATTTTACAACCAGGTTTTGAAAGTGGGTGGCAAGATGCCTATTTGCAAGCATTTACATGTCATTAGTACCTAATGTCATATCATTGATGTGCAGTTTCCTATTCTCCCCAGAAAGTAGACAGTGACAATTCCTGACATGAAAGTCAGGGCAGGTACCTGGCAGCTCCAGCTCACCGCTTGTCCTTGGGTCCTCACCAGCACCTGGCTTGTAGCATTGTACCCTGTGGTGCTTCAAGTGATCATCGAGATACTTCTGGGATGATGTGATGTTCTCATCTCTACCACTCTTTCAGATTCTTTAAACCACCTCAAAACCTCCTGCCTCTTACCTTTAAACTGTTTTCCCTGGTTATTGATCCTTTTACTAAGGGGAAAGGTTTATTTCTATCTACCCTATCTTTGCCCCTCAATTTTATGCCCCTCAATCAGTTCTTCCCCTCAGCCATCTCTGCTCTAAGGAAAACAACTGAAAAAAGTCAATCTGTCTTCCTAGCTGAATCACTCCAGCACAGGCAACATCCTGGTGAATCTCTTCTGCACCCCAAATACTGCAGTCACCATCCTTTCTATAATGTGGTGACCAAAACTGCACACAGTACTCCAACTGTGGTCTAACAGACACCCTGTATAGCTCTGTCATAACCTTGACCAGTAAAGGCAAATACCCCATATGCAGCCTTAACCATCTTCTCTACCTGTTCTGTTGTTACACCAATGTCCCTCTGATCCTTTATCCTAAGATTCTACCATTCATTACATACTTTTTTGCCTTTTTAGTCCTTCCAAATGCATTACCTCGCACACTGTTCAGGATTAAATTCCATTTGACACATTTTGTCCCATCTGACCAAGCTGTGTGTATCATCCCGTAGTCCAAGGCTTTCTTCCTCCCTCTTTACCACACCACCAATTTTCATGTTATCTGTAAACTTGTAGTCAAACTTTCAACGTTTGTGTAGAGATCATTAATAAACTTTACAAACAGCATCGAAACCTGTGGTATGCCATTGGACACAGGCTTCCTGTCATAAGGACAAGTACTAAATGTCACACTCTGCCTCTGACCACGAAGGCAATTTTGGATCCAGTTTTCCCAATTGCTGTGAATCCCATGGGCTGTTACCTTCTTGACCATTGTCCCAGGTGAGACCTTGTGAAAAGCCTTGCTGAAGTCTATGTAGACTACATCCAGGGCATTGTCCAGATTCACAGATCTAGTCACCAGTTTGAAAAACTCAGTTAACACTCCAGCATGATCTCTCCCACACAAGCCATGCTGACTTTCCTTTGATTATTCCTTGTCTGTCCAAATGAAGATTAATTCTATCCCTCAGATTTTTTTCCAACAGTTTCCCTACCATAGATGGTAGACTCACAAGGCTGCAGTTCCCTAGCTTCTCCTTATCACCCTTCCTGAATAATTTTCCCATATTATCTGCTCTCCAGTCCTCTGTCCCCTCTTCTGTGGCCAGAGGTTTTGAAAATTAATGTCAGGGCCCCTGCAATCTCCTTCCTTGCCTCCCATAGCAGGCTGTGATAAAACTCAGCTGGTCCAGGGAATCTATCCAAAATTAAACCCATTAAAACCGCTATTACCTCCTATCTCTCAATTGTAATTTGTCCAAGTAAATCCAACATTCCTCCTCCCTGATTTCTATACCTACATTGTGATCTGTCATGAATGCCAAGTACTGGTTTAAAACCTCACCCACGTCTTTCAGCTCCACGCACAATTTGCAACTTATTAATAGGCTGCTCTCTTTTCTTGGTTAACCTCTTGTCCCTAATATCCTTTAAAGTGCCTTTGGATTTTCCTTTATTTTATCATTACACCTCTTCGATTTCCTATTTTCTTTTTAAGTAACCCCTTTTTTATATGCTTCTACTGCTTCTGGTGTTTTGAGCCTTCCGTATCTCCTATAAGCATCCTTTTTTTCCTGATGAGCCTTTGTGTGAGGTAGCAGAGAGAAGGTCAAAAATCACACAATGCCAGGTTATAGTCCAACAGGTTTATTTGAAAACACAAACTTTCAGAGCACAGCCCCTTCGTCAGGTACAGTGAGAGGAGAGCATACAGGCACAGAGTCTGTAGACAGAGAGATGAAGGAGAGAGAGATCAAAGAATCATACAACTGGTGTGAGTGGTGTGAATAAACCTAAAATGGCTGGCTAACTGCCTGCCTCCTGTTGAATCATTCCTACAATCTTACGTTCTAGAAATTGCAGAAGCAGGATATGGAGAACTCTGTTAGTTTTGATTGATTTAAGATGCAAATTCCAGAATCTGTTTCAAGTCACTGCCCTGAGATAATTAAAGGTTTCATCAGTGTCTGCCGAACTTTCCAAACTTCAATCAGGCAAAGTGATAGGAATATACAAAATGTGTCATCTCAGGTCAGATACTGAATTGTGGGTGTGAAGCCTTGTGCGGAGTCTGTGTCAGAGTTTTAACCTGGAATCAGGCTGGTTTTATTCTGAAAGCAGGAATTTATAAAATGTCACACTGACTGACTGTGACTACAAATTGTGTGTTTCTTGAACAAAATAGAATGTATCTGCAAATATACAAACATCTTGGATGAAATAATTCACATCATAGGTTTATGTGGGTGTGTGCATGCCCGTGCTTGGGAGGGAGTGTGTTTGTGTGAGAGAGAGAGAGTGTGTGTGTGTGTGGGAGTGTAATAAGTAATCCAAAACTGTACAAACTAATTTAAGATAGAAAGATCATAACATTTTATTAAGGTGATGCTGTCAAAACAGGACAGTAAGGAAGATTTTGTAGATACAGAACAGTGTGGTGGGATCACCTGTAGCATGACATGAAACCAAGATCACGGTTGATGCTGTCTTCATGGGTACGGAACTTGGCTATCAGTTTCTGCTTGGCGATTCTGTGTTGTTATGTATCTTAAAGTCCACCTTGGAGGACCCTTACCCGAAGATCGGAGGCTGAATGCCCTTGACAGCTGAAGTATTCCCCGACTGGGAAGGAACAGTACTGTGTGGTGGTTATTGTGCGGTGTCCATTCATCCATTGTCATAGTGTCTGCATGGTCTCGCCAATATTCCTTGCCTCGGGGCATCCTTGTCTCCAACATGAGATAGACAACATTGACCAAGTCACATGAGTATCTGCTGCATACGTGATGGGTGGTGTTCCCACGTATGATAGTCGTATCTATGCCGATGATCTGACCTATCTTGCAGAGGTTGCCAAATCAGGGTTGATTGGTGTTGTGGTTGATGTCCTGAAGGCTGGGTAGTTTGCTACAAACGATAGTCTGTTTAAGGTTAGGTGGTTGTTTGGAGGCGAGAAGTGAATATGTAGGGAAGATCTTGGTGAGATGCTCATTATCATCGATGTCATGTTTAAGGCTGCAAAGAACACGGTGTAGTTTTGCCACTCTGGGGAAGTACTGGATGACAAAGGGTACACTATCAGTCATATCCCGTGTCTGTCTTCTGACGAGATTGTTGTGGTTTTTAGCGGAGGCACATCAGAACTGGCGATTGATGAGTTCAACATCGTATCCCCATTGTTATGAAGGCATCCCTCAAAACCTTCAGGTGTCCGCTGTGTTCCTGCTCATCTGAGCAGATCCTGTGTATGTGTAGGGCTTGTCCGTCGGGATGGCGTTTTTAATATGTTTAGGGTGGAAGCTAGAAAAGTGCAGCACAATGAGGTTAGTCAGTCAGTCATTTTAGGTTTGTTCACTCCACTTACACCAGTTGTATGATCCTGTGATCTCTCTGCCTATAAACTCTGTGTCTGTGTGCTTTCCTCTCACTGCACTTGACAAAGGGGCTGCACTCTGAAAGCTTGTGATTTCAAATAAACCATTTGGACTATAACCTGGTTTCATGTGGTTTTTGACTTTGTCCAACCCAGTCCAAGGGCGGGACCTTCACATCATGGCAGAGAGAAGGTGGTGGCACTGTTCCTGATGGAGTGTAGAAGGTCATTCTTCCTTTGTGGCATTGCTGTGCATTTCTCTGAACTGTGGAAATGGCACTGATCTGGGTGGCAACTTGAAACCAGACTGGCAGAGTCTGGTGCTTGGTCTGTTCTGCTGGTCCTGAGGAAAGTGGATGGCCCTCTTCTGCAACATCCCACACGCCAGAATCTCCTGGGGGTGAAGCGGAGTCCTAACTTCCCTTTCTCGGCCATTTCTGGGGCAATTCTTTACGTGCACGAAGTGTGAAGGCCAGCTCCTGACTGACAGCACACGACCTGGTGAACAGCTGCCCTGGCAGTGCCAAGTGGTTCACTGCTGATGTGTGTACTGTAGCATGATAGGGGTGCATACAGGCATGCTGCATAAATAATGAGGCAAGCTGAGGAGAATAGCACAAGTGAACTTGCTGGAGCTTACAGACAGAAGACCCTCAGGAAACTCCCTAATATTGACAATTCTCTTATTTTGATTATGTCCAACCATAAATGGATCATTTCTCTTTGTAATGATCAAACACTAAGTGGTTGAAGCCATCAATTCACACATGAATATCCAACATTACGTAAACTTCATGTAGCTCTGGTTTAAATTTTGATCAGTTTATAATTACATTTAATTTCATATTTTGCACCTCCAGATTTTTGCAAAAAAATTGAAAAATAAATAACTTGAGTGTTTGTTTAATTTATATTTATACTTTCCGACAGTTTGAAAACCTATGGAACCATTTGCCAGTCAATGATTTTGGGAATCTGGATTATCATAAATTTCTGAATCAGTTCACTGGACAGCAGTCAGTGGAATCGCAACCAAAGGGAGATACATCACCGACTAAACCATCAACACCTGGATCTGGGAGTAGGCCTCCTTCTGACGCTAGACGCCCCAAAACTTCATCTTCCATCCACAGTGGTAGCAAGGTACTGTCTAGTTGTTTATCATTCTGCTCAAAGCATTGGACCAGACATGTTGCTTTTTATCTCACTGTTTTCCTGAAATATATTTCTTGGCTCCCATGCCAGATCTTGTGCAAATTAACAAAGGCAAATACTATCAATGCATCGTTATTTTCCCTGTAATTTCTGGCCCTTTTTTTTCTTTTAAATAATCCTTAGTTTGTTTCTCAATTAGTTCTTTATTTATTTTGCCCAGATTTTTGGTGTCCGGATAGTCCAAAAACCCCAAAACTACATGTATTGGGACCCAGTGGAACTCCCATTACACTGACTGTGCAGTAATTTCTCAGGAATTTTCAATGGGCCATTCCCCAGCTGCATCAGACCCTGCATGAATGTCTTCAACTCTGACCTAGAGTAAGAAACTTGGGGGAGAGAGACTTTAATTATGTGTATGGTTATCAAGGAAATGTAAGACTGATTTAGAGCCATGTCTAACCAGTGGGAAACTGTACAATTGAACCAGCTCCCTCCACCTCACCCTCCTGCTTAACTCCCCACTGACCCTCCAACCCCTGTAACCCTCAGCCTTCCCCCTTTTTGCTCATTGGTCTTCACATCCCTTCTACATAATCTGACTCAAATGTCACATGAAAGTCCACCCCCTAAAACATTACATCTTGTTCCCTCAATTTCTTCCCCTTCTGATTTTCTAACCTCCACTCCTTGACCAAACTGCAACTACCTCTTGATCATTTAGGCCTACTTACCAGAATAAGGTGGCAAGAGCCTTTGAGAATATTTTGGGAAAAGCTGTGTTGCCACTTTTGTAGGTTATCCTTTGGATTAGAAATGAATCTCAACAGCTAGCAAAATATTGATGGAAATCATTTGCAAATAATGAACTTATTTTATTAAGCAATATTCAAATAAGTGTGAATTAACTGAGTTGCTTATTTGTAATTCATTGACAATCTTGCTCTAGAGGCCTGAAAATTAACCTTACTTGCCTGTCTCCACAGAAGTTGATGGGCGCATTGAATGTTTCGAGCATTTTCTGTTTTTATTGCTCAGTTTTTGAGATTGGGTTGCACTGCTTTGTTGCAGTATCATAGAGGGAATCCTTCAGCATCTGTACTAAATCCTTGATGTGGTCACTGAGCTACAAATACAATGGTGAGCAATTCTCTAGCCCAAGCAATGCCCATTTTGAGCAAAGAAACTGCAAACATTACAAATAGAGAAGTATGCGTTTGACTCTGTATAATTATGCTCAAAATTGAAAAGCATAAATCAAAACACCCAGTCCTTCCTTTTTGACATGCCTAGCTTTAACTTTTATACTTCACACCTGACTGTTTTTCATCAATCACTGCAATGTTTTCAGCATGCTTGTGAACCATCTTTCATGTGCAGTGTGTACTTTTCCAATTATGTTGTGACCTATAATCTCTTGGAACAACTTTTATTTGCCAAATCTCTGATATTTTGTTCTGAAACAAGGAAGTTGTCACTGTGAAATGACAGTGTCTGTCCTTGCAGCTCATTGATACTTTATTTTGCATTTTGCAGGAGTTGGCTCAACAATGGGCCTCTGTGACACCTTCAATGAACTGTGAGGAAATTGAGCAGAAGCTGAAGAAAGATGTTACCAAAATCTGGAAGGCAATAGAGAAGGAATGCAAAGAGAAGGACACTGAGAAACGGGGTGAAATTGATACTAAAGATTTTAAGGGTTTGCCATCCATTTTTATTTGTTTTAAATAACAATAATGGGCAGGCTGGTGGGTCTCAAAGGTCCAGAGACCCAGGTTTGATACTGCCCTTTGGCAACTGTATGTGTGGATTTTGCATATGCACTCTGTACCTGTGTGGGTTTCTTCCCACAGTCCAAAGATGTGCAGGTTAGATGGATTGGCCATGCTAAATTGTCCACGCTAAATTGTCCACAGTGACCAGGGAAGTGCAGGCCAGGTGGATTCGCCATAGGAAATGAAGGGTTACAGGGATAGGGTAGTGGGGTTGGTCTGAATGTGATGGTCTTTAGAGGGTCGATGTGGACTCAATGGGCCTGCTTCCACACTTTAGAGATTTTATGAAATAGCTTATTATTAATTGCAATAATCATGCCTCCTTCACATTACCCAATTGAAATGAAACTCCCTTCTCTGTTGTGGGAATCAGTTTCATGAACTTCCTACTTAGTAAACCCTTTCCCCATAGTTTCTGTGCACAGACCTGACTGACTGTGACCCACCCTCTTCAAGGGAACTTTACAGACAGACAGCCCTGGATGAGGAGTGCTCAGAATTCTATTCCCCAGAGTGACCATTGTAAGAAAGCTGGAAGACTGACTGGGATCCACCTCCTGAACTGCAGGGACGGTGATTCCCTGACCAGAATCACCCCAGTGAGTTGGCTGACCACTCCAGGAGCCTGCCCTTGACTAACTGGGCTGAGAACCCCGACTAACAGTTTCCTCCATGGATTGAGTTGAAGACTCCTCCTTTGACTTTCAGACATGGCTTCTTGTTTGCTGCGCATGCAGTGTGTTTACCATGTGAGCCGCCAGAAGATGGAGTCAGTATGAGATTGACATATCTTACTGCATGGCTGTGTGCTGTACAGCCTCTTGCCTGAGGACAATTGACCAGCAAGGCAAGCTGTCTGGTTGTGTGACTGCACTAATTGGTGAGACAAGGATGCTGCGAGGGTGGCAGTGCGTGCAAAGTGAAGGAGCTAAGAGAGCAAGTGGGCTGAGATGCAATCTGGTTCAATCTCTGAGCTTGGGTGCCTACCAATGCAGACCAAGTGTACCAATTGTCTATCTACTTCTGGGCCAGAAAGCCTAAGTTCAAGTCTCACCCGCTCCAATAGTGTAACATAGTACAGATATGTTAAAAATACCTAAAAGATGGAACAAATTATCCTCAACATTGAGTTGGACCTCAAAGGACTTCTCATCTGATTGTGGCGTATATCTGGCCATAGACCACATTACTCAAACCCTATAAGATTCTGCCATTGAATGACAGACATATCCACAAAGTATGTAAAGTATCAACAGTTTACATGATGACAACATCCTGCTCTTCAATTTAACTACATAGTATACCTGATGTCACATTGTCTGGTATGCGCCTGCTTTTTAGAAGCCATTTTTCTACTATCCAAATTGGCAAATGTTCCCCGGACTATATCACATTATTTATTTGATTGTCTTGTCAGGACCAGTTTTGTGATTAAGTTTAAATAAATATCTTTGAACGCTCTTTACCCTAAAGCAATCTTCAGTAGGTTTGAATGTAGCCAGGGCCGCATTCATGTAAATTTTATTTCAATTTCACACTCAGCTCAGTAAATTAACCCAAGTGAAAATGATGTTTGTACTCAAATGTTTGAGAAATGTATAAACTCTCGGCTCTTCAAATGTTTAACTTCCAGCTATAATGAAGAAGTTTTGCTTAATAGTTAAACCAGAAGAATTCCAACAGCTGGCAAAAAAATATGATATCAAGAACACTGGGCGTTTTGCATACAATGAATTTCTTCAGCGTCTCGTTCTCTCACTGGGGCCATTAGACGTTAATCCACCGGAGAGGATGAGAATCCCACATCCAAAGATTCCAGTACGTATAATGAGCAATAAAACAAACTTTTCAGACATAAGTAAAGAATTATGTACTGTTTAGTGCTTTTCTTGGCTATTTTCATTAATTATGCAATGAAGACAGGGTAACTTTTTTGGTTTTGTGGAATTGCAGCAGTTTCAATGCTAGTGATTGAGACCTCAAAATTTGGAAGATTGATCAGAGGGGGAGGTGGGCTGAGGATTGGCAAATGCAATTCCATACAGATAAGTGTGAAATGTTGCACTTTGGAAAGGTAAACCAAGGTGGGACTTATGCAGTACATGATAAGATGTGAGGAGTGTTGTGGAACAGAGGGACCTAGGAGTACAGTTACATAGTTCGATGAAAGTGGCGACACAGGTGGACAGGGTGGTGAAGGCGGCATTTAGCATGCTGGCATGTTGGTCAGGGCATTGAGTATAGGAGTTGGGACGTTATTCAACTGTAACATAAGTCATTGGTGAGGCTGCCCTTGGAGTATTGTGTACAGTTTTGGTCACACTGTTATAGGAAAGACATAGTTAAACTGGAAAGCGTGCAAAGATGCTTTACGAGGATGTTGCCAGGACTAGTAGGCCTGAGTTACAGGGAGAGTGGGCCAGGATAGGACTTTATTCCTTGGAACGTAGCAGACTGAGAGGTGCCCTTATTGAGGTGTATAAAATCATGAGGGGCATAGATAGGATGAATGCATTTAGTCTTTTACCCAGAGATGAGGAATTGAAAATGAGAGAGGAAAGATTTAAGAAGGAATCGAGGGGCAACTTCTTCACACAGAGTGGTGCGTATATGGGATAGGCTGCCAGAGAAAGTGGTCGAAGCAGGAACAATAGCAACACTTAGTACATTTGGACAGGTACATGGATGGAAAGGGTTTAGAGATATGGACCAAATGCAGGCAATTGGAACTAGCTGAGTGGGCACCATAGTCGGCATGGATCAGTTTGGGCCAAAGGGCCTGTTTCCATGCTGTATTACTTTATGACTCTATGTAATAGTTAACGTTGTCCTCAATCTCTCCTTCCCTTACAATGATGAACCTGGTGCAAGTTTCTAGCAGATGCTTGTGTGGGTGCAAGAAAATTGGACAGTATATAGATCACATGTAATTAAATGAAAAAATAGCCATGAATACCAGAGTTGGTTTTCTAACAAAAAGGGGTAAGTCACCAGGGATATCTCTGATTTGAAGAAAAATATAAACTTTTTAATTTTAATATTCTTCTGATTCTAAAATCTCAAGAGAAAGAGTGTTCATATTTCATGTCCTCTTGAGTCAGCTGCTCACTCTCTCATCTCTGCTTCAAAAGATGGTATGCCTAAATTCCATTGTAGGATGTGAAATATGATCCAGGGCTTCATTGCTGGAAACAATGTCCTACAATTAAACTTTAAAAGCATGTCCCATGTTTCTTTCATTGATGTACCTGAAAATAATAGTCTATAATTAAAAAAGTGATGTGCTAATCACATTTTCTACCTGGCCTTCTCTTCACTTGCAACCATTTGTGAATTGACTTGTCCCTGTTTTCACCAGGAAATTGGCATGTTTAACTAACCGATGAACCCTTAATATCTTGTTAGTGTGCTGAAGTGATTTTCAAAGAGATGACTATGTGTATGGGATGTATCCCACTAGGATATATTTTCTACCATAATTTTTATACAAATGTACAGCTGACAAACTGCGCATTAAGGAAAAAGAATGAAGCAAGCAAAAAATAGCTGATGATAAATAGTTTTCTTTTAAAACCAATGTGATAGAATTTTTATACATTGCAATTATCAATAAAGCAAAAATAAATATTGATGTAGTGGCACGGTAATGCAGCACTAGTTTTCAGTGCTTTGATCTGTTTGTGCTGAGCAGAATCACCACGTTCACCTTCTGCATTACAAACAAAGCACTGTACAAGTTGCAACTGGAAAATGGAGTAGACTTGTTTCACAGTCAGGAAGCCAAATGTACAAATTCTTTCACAGCCCTTTCATTTCTTTTCCTCAACTTCCAACTCTCTTTTTCTGTAGATGTGCACTTTAAGTTGAATGGACGGATAAAGCATTGCTTTTGTTTCCTATAGAACTGAAGGGAGAGGCGTTTAGCCAGAAGAGTTGATCACTTTTTAGCAGCTGAGGAAGCAAGAGGCGGGTTGTCAACATTATGAACATCTTTTCCTCCAGTGCACCTGACTCCTCTTGCTTCACTTCTTCCATGTTGGCTTTCTCATTTTTTTTTTCTGTTAGACCCAACCACACAGTCTCTGAATTTGCTCATGGAACATTTCTCTCTTACAGATGAGTCCAGGAACAGAACATGAGATATTTACTGATTTAATGATGCGGATCCAGCCATGTTTAACAAAATGTTGGAAGCTAATGCGCCGTACTTTCAAAGTCTATGATGATACTGGGAGTGGGTACATCCCGCTTTTTCAATTTCGACAGGTTTGTATTCTGTAATTAAATCTGTACGAAGTGAGGGAAGTGATTGCTGGGCACCTTGCTGAGATATAGGCACACGGGTGAGATGCCGGAAGACCTGGAGGTTGACTAACATGGTGCCACTATTTAAGAAAGGTGGTAAGGAAAAGCCAGGGAGCTATAGACCAGTGAGCCTGACATTGGTGATGGGAATCCTGAGGGGAAGGATTTACATGTACTTGGAAAGGCAAGGACTGATTAGGGATAGTCAACATGGCTTTGTTTGCGGGAAATCATGTCTCACTAACTTGGTTGAGTTTTTTGAGGAAGTAACAAAGAGGATTGATGAGGGCAAAACGGTGATGGACGTGATCCGCATGGACTTCAGTAAGGTGTTTGACAAGATTCTGCATGGTAGACTGGTTAGCAAGGTAGGAGACAGAGGATGGTGATGATGGTCGCTTTTCGGATTGGAGGCCTATGCCCAGTGGTGTGCCACAAGGATCAGTGCTGGGTCCACTGCTTTTTGCCATTTATATAAATGATTTGGATGTGAACATAGGAGGTATGGTTAGTAAGTTTGTAAATGACTCCAAAATTGGAGGTGTAGTGGACAGCAAAGAAGATTACCTCAGAGTCCAATGGGATCTTAATCAGATGGGCCAATGGGCCGAGGATTGGCAGATGGAGTTTAATTTAGATAAATGTGAGATGCTACGTTTTGGAAAAGCAAATCAGGGCTGGACTTATACACTCAATGGTAAGGTCCTAGGGAGTGTTGCTGAACTCTTGGAGTGCAGGTTCATAGTTCCTTGAAAGTGGAGTCGCAGCGAGATAGGATAGTGAAAAAGCATTTGGTATGCTTGCCTTTATTGGTCAGCAAATTGAGTATAGGAGTTGGAATATCCTATTGTGGCTGCACAGGACATTGGTTAGGTCACTTTTGGAAGACTACATGGAATTCTGGTCTCCCTGTTACAGGAAGGATGTTGTGAAACTTGAAAGGGTTCAGAAAAGATTTACAAGAACGTTGCTGGGGTTGGACGGTTTGACCTACAGGGACAGACTGAATAGTCTGGGGCTACTTTCCCTGGAGCGTCAGAGGCTGAGGGGTGACCTTATTGAGGTTTATAAAATTACGAGGAGCATGGATACAGTGAATAGCCAAGGTCTTTTTCCCCAGAGTACAGGAGATCAAAACTAGAGGGCATAGGTTTTAAAGTGAGAAGGGAAAGATTTAAAAGGGACTTGAGGAGCAACTTGTTCATGTGGAGGGTGGTGAGTGCATGAAATGAACTGCCAGAGGAGGTGGGTACAATTACAACATTTAAATGACAAATGGATGGGTACATGAATAAGAAGGATTTAGTGGGGATATGGGCCTAATGCTGGAAAATGCGATTAGATTACTTTAGTATATCTGGTTGCCATGGACGAGTTAAACTGAAGGGTCTGTTTCCAAGCTGCACAGTGACTATGACGAGAAAGATAAGGATGGACTTTTTATAAAAAAAAAAAAATCAATAGTCTGCTACTAGTTGTTGTGAAAGTGAGCAGATGCCAAACTTGGGATGTTTTACCTTTCTACGTGTCGCTTCTTGTCGTAATGGTGTACAATAAAACCAGTAATAGGTCAAGTAAAGTTATTTCCAGTTCATTTATCTTCACTTTTCCATTCATCACCTCCCCATTTGCCAGCCAGTGCCTGCTGTTTTCTGCAGCTGGCTTTCTCTTTCTGTCATGCACAAAACTCAACACAACGTAGTATTATAAGATGCAGTAATGTTTAACAAAAAAAAACAAACTGCAAATGCTAGAAATCTGAAACAAAATCAGAAATTGTTGGAAAAGCTTAGCAGGCCTGGCAGCACCTGTGAAGAGAAGTCAGAGTTAACATTTTAGGTCAAGTGATCCTTCAGAAGGAAAAGGGAGGAGTCACTGGACCAGAAACATTATGTTGTCAGACCCGCTGAGTTTTTCCAGCAATTTCTCATTTCATTTATGACTAATTTTTTACTTTGCTAATGTAAAGGATTCATAGGAACAGGATAATAGTATGGTCCTTTTTTAAAAAAAATTCCTTTCTGGGATGAGGGCATTGCTGGTTAGGCAGCATTTATAGCCCAGAGGGCAGTTCAGAGTCAACCACATTGTGGTGGGTCTGGAGTCGCTTGTAGGCCAGACCAGGTAAGGATGGCAGTTTCCTTCCTTAAAGGACATGAGCGAACCAGATGGGTTTTTCCTGACAATCAACAACGTATTCGCAGTCATCATTAGACTCTTAATTTCAAATCTGCCGTAGTGGGATTTGAACCCAGGTCTCCAGAATGTTATCTGGGTCTCTGGATTAACAGTCCAGTGATAATACCAGTAGGCCATTGCCTCTCCAGTCCTATCTGTCAGTTTACCATATGCTAGGCAGTATCAGTGGAGCAAATGATCCTTTCTTGAAAAATGACCTAGAACAAGACTCTGGACATAATGGTGCTTTAAAATATGAGTGAACACCTTAACAGAGCTTTTTTTTTTTAAGTATTAATATCATCCAGTGTAGTTTCCTCAATTATGAGCTTCATCTGCATATCTGTGTTCTCTTTGCTTTGTGTAGGTCCTGCGGCAGTATGGTATCAACATAACTGAAGAGGAGTTTTACTACTTGTCGTCTTATTATGACAAGCATCTAAAAGGAACAATCTCATACAATGAATTTCTGCGTGCATTCCTCTGATAAATGTCTACTTCTGTTTTTTTCCTCTATGCATTAAAAATATTTGCAGTGATATTGTAACAGCTCTCGGAGATAAAGCAGTTTCCTAGATGGTCAGCATTATCACTGATTTTGTCCATCCAGTAGCATACCGGTCTTCACTTTCAATATTTAAGAACCTATATTTTTAAGAACAATTTTAAAAAAAATGAACCCTGTGTTATTGCCCAAGGAATAGTAGAAATGTCATGTATGACTAGCTAAATGAATATTATTAAATATAACAATCATACTGAAACCTATGTACTGCTAAGAATATTTCTTGGAGATTAACTGGTAACATACTCAAAATGGTCTCATTACCACTAAAGTAATCTGTCATCTATTGTTTTAAAATGGACAAAATAATTCAATAAAAATTATTTCACAATAAAATTCTGGGCATTTTTTGCATTGGTTGTGCACCAGAAATAATGGTTTCTTTTAGAATACGATAGATCTGTTATCGATAACTTTCTTTTATTAACTTCTTTATTTATGGATTATGACAGAAAAATTAGCATTGAATTTGCTTTGCAGTGGGACAGAGTTTTTATATACCATCATAAAAACACACAATGTAATCAGGCAAAATGGTGCTTCACTAATTTGTTAGTATTTTTTAAGGAACTAAGAAGCATTGTGGATAAAGGGAGTCTGTTGATGTGGTGCACTGAGATTCCCAGAAGGTATTTGACTAGATGCTGTATAAAAGACTACCATACAAAATAAGAATTCATAGCACAGTGACCAACTTATTTAGGATGGATAAAAGATTAGTTGATTGATGGGAGGAAACAAAATTCCACATTGAGTTGATGTACTATCCCTGGTCCTCCAATTTCCAATAAAAAGACACATTTCTCTTTTTAAAGTAACCTTTGTGGTTTATTATGAAAATGATTAAACAAACAAATCCATTATGAGCCTCCTTTTGAGGTCTAACAGAAAATAAAACTAAATACGGAGACAAGAAAAGACCAAGTAAAATGGGTAGAGCTATATAGGTTACATTTACAATGATAAAAAAAAAACTGGCAGTATTAACACAACTGTGTGGAGCGCTTACTGTAAGCCTAGACCATAGCCATGTATATAAAGTAACAAAATCTTATTGCAGTTTATACAGTTGTATTTTAACTTTTTTCCTCTATCAACCATGGTAAATATTAACTTAATTTTGTATGGAAAACATTGCCAACATTTGTACATAATTTACATATTGGTATTAATGCTTATAAAGCAGCATCTACATTTTTTTTTAGCTTAGGTAAAGTATCAATCAGACCCAGTAACCTAAGAATGGGAGAAAAACAACAAAAGAAACACTTTCCAGTTCTGTACAGATAATGAAACTTCAGATTAACAGGAACACCTGCCTATTCCAGTTAGTATATCAGCCAGTAGCTTTGCTACCATTACAGCATGAAATCAGTAGCATAAATACACAAGAGAATGCATTTTTGAAAAAGAAACAGTGTGTATCCAATGATCATCACCACTTCATCTATTCAGCTAAAAACAACCAATATGGCTGTACCAAAATGAGCTGAGACTGTCTACATAGATTTTCTTTATAAGGGGAAGGATTACTAACCATTCAAGCACAACATTTCTGCATTAACCAACATATTGTGTTATCGGAAAATATATTGGGAATAATTTTTCCTCCTCCACCCAAGAAATGATAAAAGTAAACATTAAAATTGTGTGTCCATTTAAGAAAATGTTGTTTTCTTTTAAAGAAAAACTTTTTCATATATATAGAAAGAATAAAGATTGTGTACCTGCATCAGAGGAAGAAAGAGTATGATCTCTTCTCTGATTGCTCAACACATGAAATTAGAATAGTTGTTGCAATTCTGATTCATCTCTGAAGGACAGTTATGAATCTACACAATTCAAACAGTACTTTTAGGTAAGACATAAAATGCAAGGAGAATACAACTTAGCTTTTTTTTCCCTCTAAATTGTTTCAAATACAAAATTCAAGTGCAATTAAATTCCAAATATTACTTACATCTTTATTTCTTTATTGCTATTGCATCACTTTGATACTTTTGCAGGTAGTTGCCAATTTCTGCAATTTTCCAACATACTGAAAAGAATGTTTTTGTTCTACAGGATTACCTTTCTTTCCTGTAGAAGAGACTGAAAATGAAAATACTTTTAATAGAGGTCATTTTCTATTAGAATCACCTGTTCTTTGAACATATAAGAAAGGGCAGAAAGCAATTTGCAGTGCACAAATTTACAGCCAAAGTTAAATGCATGTATAACTTCCTAAATTCTTTCCGCTTTCAGAGGAATATTATCAACTCAGAGCAGGATAACTGCTTTTACATCATTATATCATTTGAGGATAGGTTCTTCATTGACGAAGAATGGAAAAATGTTTAAAGTAAAACTGAAGACTATTAAACAGATTTTTTTGAGGAGAAAACATGACACCAGTGTTGAAGGGAGGGATGCCTCTTCATTCAGAATTAAAACATCACCAAAACTATTTGTATGGCCTTAAAAATCTGGACACTTTGGAACGTAGCAACTTTATAAATGATCTGGGAAACATTTCTTTAGATTCTTGTGCTGTATACTTGAAGTAATTTTGAGGATGTGCCAATACATCAAAGAGTGCTTTGATCAATTTCTTGTCCTATATTAAAAAAGACAATTAAGAACATTTTCATTAGAATTGATAACATAAATTTCTGCTGCACATCATAAGAATAAGTATAATTTTCCTTCTTAATGACAAGCTTACTTTAAGAATTTCTTGGTGGTTTTCTGAAGCATACAAACGCCCATCTCTTACAATATCTTCTATTAACTGCTGATAGTCCTCTGTACAAGAAAGACAAAGAGCAACTTTCTATTTCAGTTTGGATAAATAAATTTTCAACAGTTACTTAGAAGCATTATTAATGAAGAAAGAAAGTTTTAAAAAGAACTTTAACATTGCATTGTCCATATTTTTTACGAACGGTCTTTGATTCAATATTGTTGCGAAGCTGGCTGACATTAGCTAACTCATCAGAGACAGCAATTGAACAAAGAATCATATTTGTCTGTGTAACTCAAAGATACTGGATAAAATCCAATGATAGAACCTTTGGTTTTGTGCCCACAAGAATTAGATAAAAATTATCACGCAAGATATATAAATTACATATCCACTCAAGGTAAAAATCATCAGAGTAGATACTAGTCATGTGATCATAGTTAGTTTTCATCTTGAACGTTATTTCATGAGAATATCTCTCTCAGGCAGTACAGTGGCTCTGTGGTTAGCACTGCTGCCTCACAGCGCCAGGGACGCATGTTCAATTCCTGCTTGGGTGACAGTGTGGAGTTTGCATGTATGTTATCTCCATATTTCCTTACCATCATAGGTAACATATGGAACTTGAAATCCTTTGGCACTGTTCCCCTCATTAGCTTTGAATTGAATCCACAGCTTTCGAGATCTTGAAGTAAATGCTATTGGTCGCTCATAAGTCTGGCATGTTTCATATGTTGTGATCGATGTTGGTGACGCTGCACACAACACAGTAAATAATACAATATAAAATAAGAACCTTTCAAAGACTTGACTAGTTTCAGTGCATATATTGTTTATTTTAAGCCATGAGGTTCAGAATTCCATTTGGCATGCACCAAGGACACATCAATAAACTGCCAATTTATGAGCCTCCATCCATCAAAATTATGCCATATCTACTCTGGTATTACTGCGGTTTGAAGCCCCAGCAATCCCTTCCTCTGAAGTTGCAAATGTTTAATATTGATTGGGTATCGAGGAGTAAGGGGTGCGTTGTCCAACTGCTCAGAGTGAGGAACATGTGGACATGGTCAGAATTTGTCAGGATGGCAATGTGGAAGGAAGGGGCTGACATCTTATGGAGTATGCTACCATGAACAACATGTACCCACTTCTTTCCAGCCTTTTCCCCAGAAAAACTGTCTACCCACAATTGCCCGACTGACTGCCCTTGCAGTGGTATGGAATGAGCAGCATATTTAATCAGGTCAATAGAATTACCAAGTCTAATTGACTTTTCTTTATTTACATTTGGCAAACTCACTGCCCACCCACCTAACATATTATAGGGCTGAAGGCACAGGGTGTAATACCCCACCTCTGGGCCAGAAGGTCCAGGTTCAAGGGCTGACCTTTCACATGCGTAGAACTACCCAACTTATTTTACATCCTAACATTTTTGGAAAATAATCTTTTTCTGCAATAAATCTCACGAAATTCTTATGTGTTATAAGTATTTACGATACCACCTTCTGTGTTTGGGATTACAGATTGAAATTTAAACTTTTGCTTAACCTTTTAAGCTTTTACCTTGTAGCTGATGCAGAATGATCATGGCAGTAACATATATAACCTGTGTCTTACGGCTTAAACACTATTGTGCAAAAGACTTTGGATATAAATTCTGGTCCAATTTTATTCACATTGAGCAGAATGGCTAGAAACTTTGAGCAAATTAACGCTTTAATATTCAAACTTACATGTGATACTAGGATGAAGCTTTCATGGAGTATATCAATGAGTAGAACATTGAATCAAAACAGAAAATAACTGAAATACTCAACAGGTCAGACACCTCGGTGAAGACAGGAACAGACTGGATTGGTGGAATCTTCTTACAGCATTGGGGATCTGGCCTGCCAGACAGAGACATAGCGAGACACCCAATTTGCCTCTTTCCAGGAAGACCCACCAGTGCCAATCAAGGCAACGCTGGGGCTAGTGCAGGTCTTCCTCTGGAATGAGGACCTCTCGGACAGAGATCTCATCTAGTCAGTGCTATGGCCAATAAGAGACAAGCAGCTCCCGTGCTCAGCAGCAAGATGGCTGCTGCCAAAAGGACATTCCCTTTCCCCTAACCCATCCCCATGGATTTCCACGATTGCTGAGGGGTCAGGCCACTGGTAAATAATATGGGAGGGAGGTGTTCACTGAGTGGGATTATGGGGCAGATCAGAAACAAGAACAGGGGTTGGCTGTCACCTCCCTGATGGCCATTCTCATGATCAGGCAGTGATTACCTTTGATGAAGGGATCCCACCTACACCTGTCCGTCCCAGTTCCCACTGAGGGGAAAGTAATACACCTGTCTCAGCTGTTGCACATGTCTCACTGAGGCATGGCCAAGATGCCATCGTGTTAATCCCAGTGATAGCAGCAGAAGGTCTTTGTGGTGACTA